CCCTCGACCTGACTGCCGCAGCTATTGAGGAATTTGCTGAGAGCGGATACCGACATCGTTTGCTCTGCAGACTAGGCTGCCGGGTCAAAAACTAAGGACAAATTTCTGCAATACAACTCTACTTTTTCCCAGTGCTTTGTGATTCAGGATTCTAACCCAAAACAAGGTCATCTCCATCTGTAGTACACTGGAATGCCTGGAGCAAATCTTCAGTTCCGGCAACCGAAGAGTCACGCCCCTCAGCAACTCTTCGTTGACCCCTCCTATATCGTCCATTACTTTGGTACTTAAGGTTCCCCTCGTCTGATGATAGCGGGGCTATTTAGAATCTGCTCCGCCTGTATAAGGAGCATGTTTAGTTGCTCATCGGTCAAACACTGTTGCTTACATGAACATAAAAAGATACGTCGTCCGACCTGATCTGTCAGTCCAATAGATCTTTGGCTGGAAGTGGTTTTTTTTCTCCGGATCACCTGATCCTTCAACTAGCACGAACGCAGCGTTTCTTTACCGTACTTATATGCAATGCGTTCAGTCCAGTTTATTTTCTGTAAGCCATGCTTGGGAGTCAACTGTTCGGCGAATTGTTTGGTGTTTCTCGTCGCTGTCAAGAGTAGGCTCGATATCCGTGACGGTTCCTTCTAGAAGCGTTGGAATCCCACCCTCGTATAATAATGACTCCTATTTGCCATGTCAAAATGTCTTTTGTGTTTGAAGGGGCATCTGCAACCATATCGGTATTTTTTTGTTCCTGTGGAAAACGAATGTTTCTATCGCAAGCTTGTAACTCCTCGTTTGTCTTCCATCTCAGTTCTCTCGTGTCGTCCGCCACAAGTGGCATGTGACATACCGACCAAAGGCTGCAACCTTCATGAGTGCTCTGGAGACCGGCAGTGTACAGTGTCTGGAACGTTTCCACAGGTTGTAGTCATACCAGAAGTGAAAAGGGATCAGTCAGATAAACCAGAGTTCCTCTCCTACGGGTTACCCTATTCCTAGGGTGTTTGAGGCTAATGTCTTAATGCCATCTTCAATAGGATTGGAGATTCATTAATGTGCCTCGCCCATACGACTGGATGTATGGAAAATGCGATAGTGTCTTCCAGTGAGTAAGGATGGGTTGGAAAATGATGGTCACCTCGTTTACACATACACTGATGTCTGAACAATTGATTATCACTACTACGGACCTATCAAATACGGTCGAAAAACCATCCCTAAATGTATCTGGTATGTGCGGCAGCACCAGGGATCAGATTCATGTTCCCTACTTCCTTCGCCCTCGACCTGACTGCCGCAGCTATTGAGGAATTTGCTGAGAGCGGATACCGACATCGTTTGCTCTGCAGACTAGGCTGCCGGGTCAAAAACTAAGGACAAATTTCTGCAATACAACTCTACTTTTTCCCAGTGCTTTGTGATTCAGGATTCTAACCCAAAAGTTCAAGGTTATCTCCATCAGTAGTACACTGGAATGCCTGGAGCAAATCTTCAGTTCCGGCAACCGAAGAGTCACGCCCCTCAGCAACTCTTCGTTGACCCCTCCTATATCGTCCATTACTTTGGTACTTAAGGTTCCCCTCGTCTGATGATAGCGGGGCTATTTAGAATCTGCTCCGCCTGTATAAGGAGCATGTTTAGTTGCTCATCGGTCAAACACTGTTGCTTACATGAACATAAAAGGATACGTCGTACCGACCTGATTACATGCTCTCAAACCCCACAGCGGTGGCTAGCTTCTGGTGGCTTACATTACCACTGTACCTCCATACTCAAAAGGCGGTCTGATACTGTACTCTGACTTCATCGGTTTATATCATCCCGAAGTTCTGTTAGTGCTCCAACAAAGTTCTTACCATTGTCATTATAAATGTCGATGGATTTGACACATCTATTAACAAATCGCATCAAACATTGCAGGAATGAGTCAGTAGATAGGTTGCCTGCCATTTCCAGAAGAACTGCTCTAGTTTTCAGACAGCGTTTTTCGTGTGAACGCCCCAGTTTGGTCTTCAAGGGTCCAAAGTAGTCCACTCCCACTCACTTGAGTTGATACGAACCCGCCTCTACCCGGCAGTGGAGCCATCATTTGTGTACTGGGCTGTGTGGATTGGCGCCGTTTTACGACCCCGGTTCCGTTGACAATCCAATATTGCTGTCAGAGAGAGGCTAAGAGCTGGACTACTCCGCAGTACCCTTCTACTTTATGAGATTGACGTATGATCAAGGTAGTAACAGGATGTCAGCCCGGAAGAAGCGCTGGATGTTTTACTGACTGACTAGCTCGGGTAATTAAGTCTATTAGGACAATTAACCATCTACGCAGCGGACTGAGGTTGTATGTCCTTCGAAGGGCAATGTCAGCTGGACTGTTCTCCGACGTTGCGTGTCTTCATATCACGAATAACTGTCAGTTGATTTACAACAAAGGTACAGAATCTAGAAGATGTCCTGATTGTGGTAGAGAACAACCATGGAATCTGTCGAAAAACAATACGTTAGAAGTAGTTCTTTGTGTTGGTTCCAATTATATCTGTTACCCCGGCTGCTGAGCACGTAGCTGTCAACTCTAACTCTGTTGTTGAAATGGACTTAGGGGGGTTATCCGCGCCTTTGAGAAGACAAGTGAACAGCCAGAAACTCCAGCATTCACGTGAAGCCAGTATGAGCCACCGCGCTATATACAATTTCCGATGCATCGCAGAATACATGAAGTTCGGCATATGGAATACCACTAACCTACTTAAGCTTTATGCACCTGCGGAGGCTCTTTATCAAACTGGATTTTTCTTCGACACTCGCCTTTGTGCTGTACGGCCGTCTGGCTCAATAGAGATAAATGCAACACAACGCGCCAGGTACTGTTTGTATGCGGTGTCAGTGTATGACTCGACAGAATTCGGCCCCGAACATGAGAAAGACGGATTCTATCGTGGGCTCTTACGGGTGTTTCGATCAGTAAAAAGCGCAAGTTCGTTTTACCGGTGGTTGATGGGAATCCTAATGCTTAGGTCGTCCTTTGACTCTATCCCTCACGAGAGCTAGGGCACTGTTTGGAAGTCAAACGCGTCCCTGTTAGGTTTACTTTGTTTGCCCACTTGTGCTGACGCGTTCGAGTCCGCGGTCAGTTCCAGCCTAAGTTTACCACCCTATCTCACTATTTCTCAACTTTCTTATCCGTATACTGCATGAAACTTGCGATCATTAATACCGATATAAGTCGGGTGGTTTCTGAATAAAGGCTACGGCGATAGGCGCATGCTGGTTAGGTCACTTACTTCGCATGTTAGTGGACCGTCCGCCCAACATTTTCTGTCATTACCCAGTGGAAACGATCTGAGGGTGGCGATGAAGTGTGTAGTTTACGGTTATTAAACTCAGTTGGGTTGACCGGTGCCACCTCCGTGGATAAAGACCCAGGGACTCAATGGTCTAGTGGTTATTGGTACTGACGAGCATGGGCCAGCCCTATCCAACCCACTTCACTCCATTTCCCGGTTTCTCGATGAACGAAACTAATGCAGCGGGAATCAACGCTTCCTTGCCACGTGGTTAACAGTTGAATAATTGCCCTTAATGGAAGAATGTTACTCGTTCTCAAACCTGACTTTACTTTTCACACACCTATGCAACTCCACGGACGAAACTCGTCTGGATAATTTGTTCTCTATGACCATGACGAGGCTACATATTTTGCCGTTTTCGCGTTTTCCTTTTATCCTTCCCTACGCTCAATTTTAGTGTTATGACATGCGGTTCCCCGAATTGGCTGCTCATCTGCGCTATGCCAAAGGAGCACAGGTGTTGGCTTATCCGTCCGCATTCAGTGTGCCAACCGGAAAAGCTGGACACTGGCATACACTGCTACGTGCACGTGCAATTGAAAACCAGTGTTACGTTGTAGCTGCTGCTCAGGTCTGTTTCAGACTACCTACTCCACGTTTTGGTTATGCACTCAGACATCACACTTGATGTGGAATGAATATAGCTCAACTCTCAATTACTTCGTAGATCTAAGGGAACTGAGTTCTGTTTTATATGTCCCCGATATGTGCATCTTCAATATGCTGAATAATGCACCGGGGTGTTTTCAATTCTAGGACGGTGCGCATCACTCGAAACGAAGCTCCTATGGTCACAGTTTGGTGATTGATCCTTGGGGTCAAACTGTTGCAGAACGGGACACACCTGGTCCTGGGCTACTCATTTGTGAGATCAGTCCAATTGAAGCCCAAGACTCTCCTATCAGTACGGTTCGTCAATCCATTCCAGTGGAAAATCATCGACGATGTGATCTTTTCTTCCTACCGGACAGCGGTCACAGAAGAGGTGTGTGCTCAAACAGTTAATCTGGATTGCCTGCTGTCGCAACAAATGTTCGTTTTGTGAGCTGCTCTTTCTTCTTCTTTTTATCTACCGACAAAACTTGGTTATGTTCACTGTGGCAATTCCCAGTTCCTTACAGATCGATGCACATTGCATTCTTATCCCAACTGATACGAGATCTTGCTGAAAGAGTAATGCATTTTGTGGAATCTGTCGTGGGGAGTCAGAATTCGGACAATGGAGGAGACAACTGAAACCTACCACTCGCTTTTTGGTTAATGCGTACGACTTAATCGAGTTTCGTTCCCTTCAAACTCCATCAACTCCCAGTGCAGTGACCTCGAGTTTGTGCATGTTGTTGTGTAAGACGTAACTGTACCGTGATAGATGCAAATGGTGCAGGAATGGTGAACACTAGATTACTGTTTGCTTCACTCTTAGCATCACAGTAAATTTCACAAAACAAACCACTATGCCAAATCTTTACCGCGATTCGGCGGCCTGACCGCCAACGTTTTTGGAGCCTTGTTTTTTTGCCGTTTTTGCGAAGCAACTTCCTAGTGGAGCGACGCGCACCCGGTTGCTGGGGTAATACATAACACCCTTTAACTTATGCGACATGGATGTTCAACCGCTCACTATCTTCTCACTTGAACACCCTTTCCTCACTTTTAACTCTGTTTCGCGAAAAATATACTATCCGTAACGGTGATGTGAAGTGGAAATCGTAGCTGACGAACAGCGTTGAACACATCTCGCGCATTTCTGGTTGCAACAGATCTTCGAATGTGGCTGAAATTTTCAAAGGACTTGGAGTGGAATCGACTGTACTGCCAATTCTTGGTGGAACTCGATTCGCTATCGTGAGCTGAGTTATGCATTGACTGAGATACTTCAGTCTGAGACAGTAAACTGATGTTACTAGGACACGTTGATTAATCATGTGTATTTGGATACTGTCTACAAGTTGCGGTTGTTTGGTTGCTGACTGATCTCCCCGGAGTTACCGTAGACTTAGCCCTCTATCCTTGTCACTCGTTTTCGGTTTTCTATGGCAAGGCTTCGCAGCTGAATGATTGCCGAACATCAGTCCTTATTGCTGTTTCTTCCTCACAATTTCAAGTTCAACCAAAACGGCCTATCCTGATGTCAGGAGACCTCCTGTAACAGTTACAGCACTATATAGTCGAATCAGGTTTGCTTCCTCCACTCACTGTTCGATGTGTCATATTCAAGCGAACAAACCTCCTATCCCCCGGAATGAAGATCCACATTGGGTTCCCATCATCTGTGATACTGACGAGTATTCGGGTGGTGGATGATTGTTTAACGAGAGTATCGCCCACAATGACGCTCCAGAACATCTGTAGTTGTTTGATTGTTTCGAATGTTGTCACTATCGGTCGCTTTAAAGGGGAATTGGGACCTTGGATCCCAATTTTAGCTAGGCCTTTGTGTATGCCCTTTGATCCGTCTGCTTCAAGCAATCTTTTTATGATTAATAAAAACGCCGAACTCTTTCACGGTTTGCAAGGTTCTTCTCTGATTATGAATCTCTACTATAAATCTTACCGCGGAGCTCTCAGGGATTCTTTCTGTGCCATTAGGTACGCCGTCTGGTTCCATTTCACAATCTGCGCGGTACGGCTAGTGGTTTTCGCCGTTGTGATCTTCCCCATGTCACAGTTAGGGGACCATTACTGTTTTCGCATACTTTGCTTACGAATGAAAGACTAATATTTTGTAAGAAGAACTTTTATCGCAGCAATACTTCTACTATCAGTCCCCATAGTATGTATGTGGAATGTGGACGTAATTTTGTGACAACCTCTTGTACATGGATGGTGCGTGTTGATCGTCTAGACCCACCAAAGTCCCCATAGCATTTCATTCAATGTTCATCCTATAGCACCCATCAGCTATTTTGTTTTCTGATACACGTGTGTGACCTCCTTCTGGACGAACTCAAGTGGCTCTCAATCAGCTTCGCAGCTGATTCAGTGGGTCGGTTTTCTGCAGTCTGCATTTTCACCCCCCTAGTGATTTGTACTATCTTATTCGACTGCCTTACGTCCATTAGCCGAAAGAATAGTAGGGAGTTGTTCGGAATTCTGTATACACTTCACGTGGGGCGTGAAAACCTTAACAGTGATGTACAATCTGTACAAAATGTGTTTTTTTCTCAGTTGGTGTCAGTAATATCAGTCAGATTAGATACTTCCTCAGGAGCGAGTGTTACTGTCTTGTTCACCCAATATACGTGTCCCTTTGTTACCTTTGGCCTTCGTGAAGTGTAATCGAAAACAGCAGTCCACAAAGCTTCTGCTGTTTTCGGGCAGCCAACCCCCGACTGCCTCCTCATTTTTGTTACACTCAACACGTCATTCGAACACTTCTGTTGGAATTGAAAAACCGCTTCCCCTGTGTGCTTAATAACACATGCCATAAGCTGAAGGTAACGAGCGTCCCATCCATCAAATCATGCTTACTCGCTTTTCGAGTTACTCATCACTAAACATCAAAATTCGTAAGCTCTGTCCATCTGATACACCTACATACTTCATAAGCAGAAGACGGTATTCAAACCGCAAAAGGCGCTATTCGCACACTGCACAGCACAACACTGTGTAGTTGTGTGTCAAAGCTTACTCACAGAAACCTGGCAACCATGTTCGTCTTCAATTGCCATAATTCAACCGGACACGTTCAGCTGCACAGTAATAAAGCTAGATTTTCCACAATGACTGGCTACTAAAAGTTGGCCTTAATTTGTATTTTTTTGGTCCAGGATGCATGCGGACTCTAACAATAATCACTGCGCTACAAAAGTTTCGGTACCCGTTCAATAACCATTTAGACGTTGTATGCACCGGTTTGCATTTCCTTTGCTGCCGGTAGAGTTTTCAATGAACTTACTCTAGGTTTTTGAGAGGGATTGAGTGGAACTCGAATCTACCTTTGGATTGGTACTCAGCACTTATCGCAAGAGTAGAGTAGAGTAGTCACCGAAGTTTACTCAACTGCATGGTTGCTTATGAGCGCTGATCTTTGTTGGGGTGTTCATTTGAGGTGTACTCTTCTCAAGGAGTTTCAACAATCAAACTACCATTTATTCATTCAGCTTTGTTCCTCGTGTAACAGCGGACATCAATGGTTTTGAGTGACGTTCACGTGTTGGCTTCTACAATACGACCCGAAGTGGGACATTTCGTGTGGCTTCTAGCCCGAATACACTCCTGTTTGTTTTGCTATGGACGCCGGCGCGTAGCATGCCGTAGAAGTTAATGGGTACAGTTAATATTACCAACACTCGTTCCGGAGTGGCTGATCGGATTAGCAGTCTGCAACGCACAGCAAAGCTTGGGAACGTGATACGACATGGCACCCTACTAATGAAATCCAACGTAATTAAGTTCGGTTGTTTGATATTTGAACTGCGCCTATCTAGAATCTCCATCTATCGTCCCTAGTCAGAAGTTTGTTTTTCTTCATTGTCTCCTGTTGTTATTCACTTCTTTCACACACAGATATCGGAACAGAGGACTACATGTTTGGCCCACATGTCATTCCAGCCAGCTGTGTTTTCTACCGTTCCGCGATGAGTTTCGCTTTTGTTAATCTCAGTCCACTGGTTCCTGGCCGTATCCTTTAATTGATTGCTCTGTTGGTCTGTTCATTTCGAGCCTATATATTTGAATCCTGTTTATCCCTCATGCTGGTACCCTTAGACAGATCAAGGCAGCTGAGCGACTGTCGAACAAACTTTTACTGCCTGAATTTGTCACTATCATATCCATCCGCAGAAACACTGGCGTGGAATACCAATGCTTCGCTGCCATGAAGCCATCAGTTCGATCTTACAAACTTATAATTAAGGCTGCCAGAACGTCCCAGTGCTAGCCTACTACAAATGCCCGAGACCCCTGCTTGAACAGCACTGATAGTAGTTGGCCGCCATATTACTCACAGTCTGCAGCCAAGTTCACGGAAGATACCTTGAGCTCCATTCTGGAAGGCGGGTCGCATCGGAGGCACGAGAACTTTTCCGAGAATCGTTCCCTTAGACCGGAAACTAGGTTCATTAGCAGCCGCTAGCTAGATTCATGCAGCAGGTGGAGTTTGGATATTCCTGTTATTGTGTTGCCAGACTTTCGCTCATTTGCATGGTTGTTTGTTACCCAAGAGGAGAAGTCAGATTGGGGAACGTTAGTCTCACATATTGGGCAACTTTGGCAAATGGATCACCCATTTGAAGGGTTGAGACAAGCAATATGTAGCTTCCTGCTTCTGATTGTAGATAGTCAACACCATTGCTACACGTTGCGGGGTCCTAGGTTGGAACCTCGTTTAAATTTGTTCCTAGGTCTTGCTCAGAGATGATTCGAAAGTATGTTGAGTAGTGGGTGATATTCGTTTGTTGATTGACTTGTATCATTCCAATTAATCGGCAGCTGATTTTTGAGGTGGTAGCCACCCATTATTGGATATTTTATCTACTCTGTTTAACTTGACTCGCCAATGGCTACCAAGATGTCCTTGTATCTCCGGTAGCGTGTCACCCCCGTTTCGATGAGTTGAGTCCCGCTCAGCTGGCGGACCTTTACCTGACTGTCAAACAGGTAGCCGCCCCATTGGCTGCTCATTTCTCCGCAACCAGCTTGACTGTTTCAATTCAAGATGGAAAGGATGCGGGTCAAAGTGTTCCAGTGAGTTATCTTTTGCACCGTGACCAGACGCGATTGTATCTAACTTTACTGAGAGCGCGTTTCATTCCGTTCGCACATCATAATGTATACGACAGTGTTATACGTAATGCAAATAGAGTGTATATTTCGTTCAGTCAAGTTGATTTTGACGACTAAACTTTTGTCACGTCCAGTGGAGTTGATTTCGTATCTCGGAAGTTGTAGTGGTTCTGAGTGTAGTGTGACAGATGAGGTCGATGCGCGAATCTGGAAGGCTTGGGTCGCGTTTGATAATTTGAGACACCTATGGCATCAAAGGGGTGTATCCCTGGGTCTCAAGAAACGTGTATCAAGCTGCGGTGTGGGCTGTTTTGTTGAATGGCTTTGAGTCTTGGCCTGTTCAAGCAACGGAACTGAGACGTCTTCAGCTGTTCGACAATCGTTGTGTCAGAATCATAGCTCGTGTGGGTTGGTGTCGGCGTATCCATTGAAGGATGTGTCCAGCACCAGAAGCTGCGTTGGTTGGAACATGTGTTGCATAGGTCGGACCATCGTTGGCCGAAGAGAGTGCTGTTTTTCATGCTCAGAGAGGTGGCCAGTTTCTGACCTGAAGTACGCTTGGGTGCTGTTGGTGCTACTCGTCTTCCAGGATGGGGACCGCCTGATCCTAACTGCGCCTGGTTGGAGATGCTGCAAGATATGGCTGCCAAGCGGTGCCATTGGCGATGGGACTAACAATGGACTTCATATACTAAGTGAAAAATCTTTGGGCTCCGTCACGAGAAAACAGATAAACACATTCACAGTTGACTAGAAACACAAAGTAACTCCTAATGGGATTGTATTTTCAACACTGTTCACACATTATAATGATAAACAACTCATCCACACTTCGAATTTTGAGCAATTCCTGTCAGTGTTTGAGAGTATCTTACCCGCTCCCTCAGCCGATCTGCTTCACACCCTAGGTTAGGAACCAGTTAGATTGGTTGAATTGGTAATACTGTGTCGCCAAGCTAGCAACTCGATTAATTGAAAGCAACACTCAACAGTTCTGAACAAGCTTTTGAAATCCAAGCTTCTCCCGATATCTGAATCATCCAAATAGGAAGTTCTTCGTTTTGCCTAAACGCAGATTGGTCTGCGAGTGCTTGTTCGTTCATGGCCACTCAAATCGTGTGCAAAAATTCCCACGCACTTATCCCACGATTACCCGAGATGATCTTTTAATTCCAGCACGTGCATGTCCATGTCCTACCTCGGAAGCCAAATGATTTTGCGCGCAACGATAACATTTACGAGGCGGTAAGTCGGCAGCTCACTCGACTGATGCATCGTGTTCGTTATGGTTACTGTTCTTGCTCAGGTAATTTTAAACCACATTTTAGCCCAACTTTCAATTCCGCATACCGGTTTCACCAGTGAACTTCACGTAAATAGTGTATAAATTATCTGTTTTCCCTTTTATGGGTTCAATTCAAAATGGGGATTATGATTTAGTGAATAACTTTCTGATAGGTCATAAATTCGTCTCAGTTTCAACTGTTTTCCTCTTTTGCCGTTTATTCTAGCTTAATGCTGCTGACTTGAGTAGACGCCACACAAACACTCGGTCGTAGCCTAGCAACTCACCGAAGATGTGTCCTTTTGCCTGTATGGAGCTTCAGACCGAGAAATGGTTCAGTTAGGGCAAGACAATATTACTTCACGTACAGCAACACCTTTACTCAGTCTCATATCTATCTTACTTTAAATTTGGATCTTGCTGCCATGAGGAAAGCGAGTAGTCCCTCCCTGAAGTGGCTCTTCCTTGATGGACTCGTATTGTAACGTATCACTCTACCGGTACGTGTCAACTTCTTTGACGAACTTCGCGAAAGTTTGCGCTCAACAGGCTTCCTGATATAATCAAGGCGACCAGATCTAAATTTCGTGGTTGTATGTTGTCCCAAATCTACTTTACGCACGTATTATATTATAAAGTATAGTTTCGAGTTGCGTCATATTGGGTTCAGTTTATGTGTATTTATTGAGTCCATGTGAATATGGGCCGACTCGACACTGCACATTCCAGTGTGTTAAGGCTACAGCGGTGATAGAGTTGATACTAGTCTGACCGCCTTTGTGCTTCCCTAGTGTTTTGTGGCCTGCGAGTCTGATTTTTCTCAAGACTGTTCAGTTCAGTTTGTCAGTTATAAAACATTTACTGCAGTTTCGATCACCGGAAAATCAGAGAGCAGGGGAGGTATAGCCAAACGTTTGGGACGTTGACAAAATCGGATAGTTCGCTTTGTATATTGCTCTGAAGGAAATGCAAACTTGGCAGGTACATGTTGAAGGTGGGGATAGCTTTGATGCGCGAGCTGTACTGACTGCATAATCGTGCCATGTGCATCTGCTATTTGCTCAGATTCTGATGGCTATGGTTGTGCTCGACATTGTGCGACCGTTTTGAGTGATTCATCTGTGTTTGAGTTGCGTTGTGTCACGAACATCTTTGGGATTGTGCAGATGATAGTTTACCAGGTCACTCTCTCAATTTTACCGGGATCTGAAAACAAGGATATGGTTATTCAGATCTATGTGAAGGCTGTCACGGTAACTGAATTTTGGCCGTCCGCGAGTTTGAACTAACTGCATAAGGTGTTTCAGGATGCAGTTATCAGCCATTCGTTTTAGAAAGCCTGTCCAGCTTAGCTAGTCGTGTGTCAAGGGGCACTCGACTCTGCGTTGGTTTTGGTTCGTTTGACAATTTTGGTGTTCGGGATCCGATGTAACTTGGTCAAGCATCTTGATGTGCCGTCGATAGCGCTTGTACAACGGACTTGTGATACCGTCAGTTGATGATAGTTTTCGATCGACATTATCTCATACAATCTCGTAGATCGTGCTTGATAAAAACCTCATTCTGTGGGTGCACTTGAATGAGTCACTAATTTGATGCTGGGGTCTTGGTGGGAGGCATTTGAGTGTCACTTCGCCTAGCTACATCACTGGTGTGTTCCGTAGTGAAAACACATCTTCCAACATATATGGTCGAACGAATGAGTACCAATCGGCCGGAGGATTCTTATCGCAATCGTCGATGCTAATGTTGCAATTACCCGGCTTGTATGCATGTCTTTCATCCAATAGGGTCGACCGACATGAGTCTCTCCATCTACACCACCAGTGTGTACGATTTGTCAGCTTCAATGCATAGATAAACGGGTGAGTGTAACTGAAAAAATAAGAACAATCAAAACACAACTGTAGCCGTTGACCAGGTGACGTCCTTATCACCGTGATCAGTGCTGCAGGTGTTACTACTTCAGCAGATCCACCGCCATTACTATATTACTACATCTCACGAAATGGATATGAACTAGGGGATGGATGATGGACTTTGAGGGGGTATAATCAGAAACCATATGTGCGATCTCATAGATGGTTGGAGCAGGGGCTGTCGGTATAATGACGTGTCACCCGTTTGTTTTGGAACGTCTATCTGGTTGGACCGAATGGGGCTAGGTAGTAACACGTAATCCGTCCTTCCGTTGTTTGAAAATCTGATGTCATACAATTAACTAATCAGTACGGTAACTTGGTTTTTCGCTTGTCTCTCCACAGCTTCAGCAACACGACAAAGTTGCTAACCGGATTATTCGGTCCCGGGAGGTTATGGACGCTGAAGCTTCGGAATTTCGGAATCTCTTCTATCCCGCCTAGGTCGATGTCAGCCGAGCCATTTATTCTAGTCCATCTTGATTTATCTTATCTGTCTTTCACTGATGGATTGCTTGTTCGCTGACAGCGCCATTCAAGAACCATGTTTGGTTAGCTATTCTGCGAACTTTCCCGTGTCTTTTTACTAGAACAATTCTAATCAGGCTGCTATTGAAAACCCCGTCACTGTTTTCTTACCTTGATCTCGAGCCGGATGCGGGTCACAATGCCGTGCTTGGCGGTAGATTTAGGAATCTCAACCCACTTTCCAGGTCACTTGTCTGAGTCCCCAGCAGATTGGTATCGTACTCCAATGTGGAGACAGTGAAAAAACTAGGAACATACGTACAGAGCATTCTGTTATCACAATTTCCGAGGTGTTAGCCTCTGAAACATCAGAAATCTGAGGGCTATTCACTCCGAAAACGGAGGCGACACAACCGACTTTTAAAACAAGGAAATCTAATCGTAAAAATCCTCCGTTTATTCAAGTAATGTAAAACAAGTAATCTCTGAACAGCTAGGTTTTGCACTTCATTATATATCACATCAACTCTGAACCTCTCTAGTACAACTCCAGATGTGTACGCTCCTGAATTTTGGATTTTTTCCGTGCTCCCTTTATTTTAGATTTAGTCTACATTTTTGCGAAATTTCCACCGTCTAGGAGTATAAATATCACTATTGAACTGGCGTAATGATGGAATTTATAGGCCTGTGAACTTAACAGCGCGTCCTTACAATATTACCGTTGCCAATCGTTAGTTTGGGCAACCACCGATGAATCAATTTAGGTGAATGGTTGATCTACCGGATCCCTGACCTCTTTACTTTCAAAAGCCAGTGACGAGCCACCAACACAATGATAGGGTTGTGTTTCCCATCAAACATTTTGAACAAAAATCGGGTCCCACAATGGTCTCCATCATTTCCGTTAGAAAACGTTTAATTCACGGCACTGACTTAAAATTACGGGACTGTTGTGGATTCCAAAATGAATACTAGGTTACATATACCATTAGTTAGCTATATTATCAGCTACCAACTGGAAAGCAGTTATGGTACCAAATTTTGTCGACTTGAATTCAATAGGGTAATGTAACGATCCAAGCACAAGTTGCCACACTACATTCGGCAGCCTGGTCTGAAGGATTACCGGTTTGAACCCCCATCCAGCTGATATTTCTGCGGTATTCCTGGTTGCTAATAAGGACTAAATATCGAAATAACTTTTCTCGGCTTTTTAACGTAACGACTGAAATCGAAATCTCAACATTAGCACTGTTCTCACTCCATGTCACTTTCCCCTTCTTGTGTGTCTGTTTCTAATCAGCAGCAGGTTATTTTGCGTAAACCGAATGTTTGGAGAATGCTTTGCTCCGGCACTTACAATCCAGGGAGAGGTACTGGAATTAGTGGAGCGTTTTACGTACCTTGGAAGTTGTATTAGTTCTGATTGCAGTGTGACAGATGAGGTGAATGCACGAATCTGCAAGGCTCGGGCCGCGTTTGCTAACTTGAGACACCTATGGCGTCAGAATGGTTTATCCCTGAATCTGAAGGGACGTGTGTATCAAACTACAGTACGGGCTGTTTTGTTGTATGACTGTGAGACTTGGCCTATTCGAGCAGCGGAACTGAGACGTCTTCAGGTGTTCGACAATCGTTGTCTCAGAACCATAACTCGTGTGCGTTGGTGTCGGCGAATCCGTAACGAGGCAGTTAGAAAGCGTGTTTTCGGTTATGTAACGGGTACTTCCATTGAAGAATGTGTCCAGCACCAGAAGCTGCGTTGGGTGGGACATGTGTTGCCGAAAAGAGTGCTGTTTTCCATGCCCAACTCAGAGTGGCGTAAACAGAGAGGTGGCCAACCCTTGACTTGGCAGAAGAGTATGAAGTAGATCACAAAACGCTTTTGTCAGTTTCTGTCCAGATTGCCTGAGTGAATGTCTGGATGTGTAGGCACCTCAGAATGATTGTGGTAAGCTAGCACTAAGTGCCTTCCCTGTTGTGCTTTACTCATTTCTTTGCAATAAGGCTTTCAAATAAATCATGGTTGTACGGCAGTGAAGCATTGGTGTTGAACACTGATGTCATGCTGTCGATGATGATGATGATGATTGCTCCGTGTTCTGCTCATGTGCAATTTGACTGGCCATCAGAAACTCCATCTTTCAGGTTTTTTTAGTTGTGCGTCACTTTGGATTAGGAACCGGCGGAACAGTTAATTTTAATTTCTTACCTTAAGCTGAATTTCCCTTGTGTGATGAAACGCAATCTAGTAAGTGTGAAACCGACTCTCGAGTGTCCGCTGTGAAGTCGTATTGTTGACTGGTCACCATGTACGTGGGTCATGAATGTTCACAGTGGCAAAGATGGAGAAGGCTAATTTCGTGAGTCCTCGCTTGCGTGTGTGTTCTACACTTTAAGTCGAGAGAAATATAGGACTTACTGTGCGACCGATGTAGGCTTCATGAAAACGAGTGAATCATATCATCAAATGAATTCCACTGCAAATTTCCGTAGGCTCACTGTGCTTGATTTCTTGCCCTCGACAACAGATCAGAGAGGAGTCCCAACGTCCTACATTCGCTCTTACGCGCTCAGTAGTAAGACAATGTATACTTGTGAAAGATCGTCCGTCCTTTCGTTCTAAAAAGAAGAGGTAAAAGCAACCTGTTCAGCTCAGCCGAGCTTTGTGAAGTAGTCATCCATTCGTCTGAATAGGGTGGTATGTCGCAGCATAGCTGATTGGACGCGTTGAAGTACTTGGGAATCGATAGATCTAAATAGACTCATGATTGCCGTAGATAAGTAATCTGCCAATGGTCAGCTAAGGTTAACGCTTTCGTCGAAAGTAGCTTGTATTTTGTGTTGTTTTTATCTGTATTTTTCCAGCGGTTGGTTGGATAGCTTAGCTGGGCGATTTAATTGTTGCATTACTAGCCGATGTGACATCATCAGTGTTTTGTGGATAGGTGCGCACACGATTAATCTACACATTAAGCTACAATTATTCTCATCTGAGACACTTAGAAATCCGCACAAACGAAGGGTGATTATGATACCGATACTGCATGCTTGGCTGTGACAAATATGCTCTATTGGTCGTTTCCAATTGAACGTACGTGTTAACCATCCAAGGAAGCTTGTTAGCGCTTTCTCAGAAGAAGCGGTTGGTAATCACATTCATTACGTCAACATACCCTGTTCAGTTCACGTTCATATGCGAGTGGTATTAAGGGTCCCACTAACTCCTTGATATCTAATTAGAAAAACACAGTTAGTGTCGTAAGTACTAGTGTTTTCAAAGACAAATATTGTTTACAATTCGTCTCTGATGCTATGTTCCAAATGCCTTCCATAATCAGTCGCCTGACTTCCGACCCATAACTCATGTTGAGCCAAAACTTCCTCTTTGCTAAGTTCCTTATCTCCATTCGCGTCCGTCTCACTGAATAGATGTTCAGCTTCTTCAGTAGCTGTTCGCTGGAATCCTGTTAAAAGCAAGACGAAAAGGGAAGTGGGGCTTTGTTTATGAAGTATGATGATTCTGAACAAAACAGTACTGAAATCATCGTTCAGAAGGGCTTGATAAACAATCGGTAGTTTTTTTATTCGGGCAACATTCGGCTTTTGACACAGAAGTTTCATCAGGCCAAGTGAGCAGATCACCTAATTGGACAGGTTTTAAGGTAGACGGAGAACCAATCAGTAAGTTCTCTCCAGATTATCACACTAGATCAGTGTTGAGTGTCAATTAACGGTTCTTGTCGATTAATGTGGTTGTCGAAATCTTGCGTTGGTGGATTGGAAGAGTTTCAACTTAATTCTAATCGGGTTTGGTTCTCTGATCTTCCACTTCAGAGTGCTTCAATTGATGATTCACCGAAAGCAGCCTAAGAACGTCTGCAGTCTCACATAACCTGCTGTCGGCAGATATTTTCAAGTGATCTGGATTTTATGAGGCAACCTCTCGCTAATCACCCCTCCCTGAGATCATAGTCAACGACGTCCGACAAATTAGTTTATTTGTGTTGATAAAAAACAGGATGGTATGTTTGAGGTGTGGGGTTACGGTTATCCTAGTTTCGTCCGTTTAGTCTGCTGCCCACTGCATAACAGCCGAGCAGAGACGGACCGGAATCTTTAATAACCTTTTGTGGACAAGACAATGTGGTTCCGTTGTTTCATATAACATTTGCTTTCACTGTCTAATCTTGCATCTGACGTGCGTTATATCCGTTTTAGGATCCCGGAATCATCCCACAGACGGCATTTTCGATTTAACGCTCACTTGCGTCAATGATACGTAGCGAATCCTTGTATCGAGTCAGTGATAATATGGAAAAGCCTCAAAGCTGAATTTGATGAGTTACAGAAAATTGGTAACATACAATCGAACTGTGGATTTGGCTTGCGTGGCCTGT